GAAAGAGCTGCGCTTTTATTAAAGAGAGAGCTGCACTTTTATTAGAAAGAGATTTGCGCTTTCATTAGAAAAAGAGCTGCGCTTTGACGAGGGAAAGAGCTGCACTTTGACGAGGGAAAGAGCTGCGCTTTGACGAGGGAAAGAGCTGCGATTTTATTAGAAAAAGCGCTGCAATTTCATTAGAGAGATCTGCACTTTGGTTAGAGAGAGCTGCGTTTTAATTAGATAAAGAGCTGCGCTTTTATTGGAGGAAGAGCTGCCCTTTTATTAAAAAAAAGAGCTGCGCTTTGATTAGAGAGACAGTTGCGCTATGATTAGAGAAAGAGCTGCGCTTTTATGAGGGAAAGAGCTGCGCTTTTATTAGAAAAAGAGCAGCGCTTTTATTAGAAAAAGAGTTGCACTTTGATTAGAGAGAGAGCGATGCTTTGATAGGAGATAATTGCGCTTTTATTAGAGAAATAGCCGCGCTCTGATTATAGAAAGAGCTGCGCTTTGATTAGAGAGAGTGGTGCTTTGATTTAAAGGGATCCTCCACTGTTTTCGAAAATATCGCTTAAAATGCTCTTTAAGTGACCAAAAGTAGATTTTGTGGACAGAAAAATGTTTTTTCCCCTTAGATTTATTGTTTTGGCCTCTCAAAAGAGGCCCTCCTGAACAGGTCGACCATCCCGCGGTCGCCATTTTGATCGGCGCGCAAGGCACTCTGGGGTGTTGACGTAAAATGGTTGCTCCTTTCCCTTGGCCTCGGTAAAATTAGTAGAAAAATGCCGTATTGCGTTGCTTTTGAGTGTAGTATTCAAGCTGAAACAGGAAAAATGAACCCAAAATCCGTTTCCACAATTTTCCGAATGATGCAGCGATTCGACGAGCTTAGATTCATACTGTTGGAAGGACATCCTTGCCCAAAGACTCACGTCTGTGTTCGAAGCACTTCGAACAGCATTGCTTTGAAGAGTCTTACCCCTTTCCTTACCCCTTTCCCTTTTTTGTTTTGGCCTCTTTTGAGAGGCTAAAACAAAAAATCTAAAGGGAGAGAACATTTTTCTGTCCGAAAAATCTACTTTTGGGCACTTAAAGAGCATTTTAAGCGATATTTTGGAAAACAGTGGAGGATCTCTTTAAGAAAGAGCTGTCCTTTTATTAAAGAGGGTTGCACTTTGAGTAGAGAGAGAGCTTCGCTCTTATTAGAAAGAGAGCTGCGCTTTTACAAGATATAAGAAAGATAGAGAGAGTTGCGCTTTGAGTTTAGAAATAGCTGCGCTTTTATTAGAAAGAGAGTTGTACTTTGATTAGAGAAAGAGCTGGGATTTGATTGGAGAGAGATCTGTGCTTTGTTTAGAGAAATAGCTGCGCGTTTATTAGAAAGAGAGTTGTACTTTTAATTAGAAAGATAGACCTGCGTTTTAATTAGAGAGAGAGCTGAGCTTTGACTAGAGTGAGAGATGCGCTTTAATTAGAGAGAGCTGCACTTTAATTAGAGAAAGAACTCTGCTTTGATTAGAGAAAGAGCTTTACTTTGATTTGAGAAAGAGTTGCGCTTTTATTGAGAGACCTGCGCTTTTATTTGAGAAAGAGCTGCATTTTGATCAGAGAAAGAGCTGCGCTTTTATTTGAGAAAGAGCCGAGCTTTTATTGGAGAAAAAGCTGCGCTGTTATTAGAAAGAGACCTGCACTTTGATTAGAAAGAACTGGGCTTTTATTGGAGGAAAAGCTTTGCCTTTATTTGAGAAAAAGCTGCGCTTTGATTAAAAAGAGACCTTCACTTTCATTAGAGAAAGAGCCGCACTTTGATTAGAGAGACCTGCGTTCTTATTAGAAAGAGAGCTGCGCTTTGATTAGAGAAAGAGCTGCGCTTT